TAAAAATCTGTAAAGTTAAAAATAAAATCACAATCGTTAATTCACTCTAAACAAAGCAGTTAAATAAAAATCTAGTATATCATGTTTTCATTCCAACCAACTAAAGAAATAATGATATTTTAATTTTATACGTATATTTTATTATTTTAATCTTAATTATGATAATGGATTTGTTTTATGTATATTTCATAGTATGTGAAATATTACTTATTTATTTTTTATATATAATTATTATTTATTTTTATTATAGAATATGTTGAATATTCTATGTAACATTTTAAATAGGACCTTTATAACCGGAGAACCAAATAAACAGTACACTACTCATGATTGAAAAATCTTTTTAGTGTTTGCTTCTACTGCAGCCACTAGAAATAAAACCGATATGAACAAAACACTTAAATAGTGTACTATTTCCGACATTTCACGTAAAAATTTTAATCTTTTAGTTAACGAATTTTATAACGATTTTTTCACGAAGATAGCGAACTTTTGTAGCCATCATTTATACATTTCATTTAAAACATAATGTATTTTAATAATGATTTTTATATATATTTTTATCCGACTATTGATCACTTTTTGTTAAAAAATGCAATGTTTGTTTAATATTTTTAATATATTCTATATATTAATATTTTATTTTGTATTTTATTTTTATAATCAAAATAATAATTTTAAATTTAGTGATAAACATTATCTTAATTTTATTTAGTGTACTGTTCGTGTAGTCTTTTTTATAAAAAATACCGAACAGCACACTATATTTGGTACTTCACAGTTTTTTTTTTCTTGATGTGATGAATGAGAGCATAATTTGCACAACAGTAAAGTCAGAGATCATATATCAGTCATTGAATAATCAAGAAACTTAAGAGGGATACACAAATTAGTCAATAGACTTTGCAGAAACCTCCTAGCTATCAAAGAGTAAAAGTGCCCAGATGCACTAACTCGGAAAAGATTTAACATAGAATCATTCATTTTTTAACTTTATTTTAATTTAATTAAAATAAATTTTTTAAGTAAAGTTCAAGTAAATTTAATGCATTACGAAATGGCAATTCGCTATTACAAGCTCTCTCACCTTACTTGATTTTGGGTACGGGAACAGAAAATGGTAAAATGTAAGTAACATTTTAAATGAATTTTACTATAAGTGCGTACAGAAACAAACTTACTATAGTTAAAATATAGAAGAACAGATAAGTTGCAATATGCAAATGAAACTTGGTGCAGAATATTGGAGTTTTCGAAAGTATGTACCAAATGTCAAGTTTTGGTAAAAACAAAAAAAATTACGACTAAATCAGTATTTTATATGACACCTATATCAATATGTGAACTAATATAAATAAGGTTTTATATATTCGCTTGTATAAGAGTTTGTACATAAAAACATAAAATATCTATATACAATATTACAATATATGTATTGTATTATATAAGTTAATTCTATGTCTAATTTTATTTGAATATCGTTAAGAGAAACGCAGAAAATTGATTTACGATTTTTCAGTTTATATGGCAGCTGTGAAACGGAGTGGTCCGATTTCAATCAATCCGTCAAATGATCAAGGACCACTAGAGAAAAGTATGTAAACAAAGCCTAATTCCAATGCTGTTTAAAACTACTAAACTAGTTTAAAATGAAACAGACGAACGGACAGGTTTAAATGAACTCAAGTCGGTGGTTAAATATATACCATATATATAAATATATATTTATAAATGCGACGTTTCCAGAATTGCTATAGAAAATCCTGACGAACTTGATATACCCTCTTTTATACGTTTTTATGTAAAAGCTGTAACAATTAGCTTTTAATTTTACATTTTATATGTTCAACTGTTTGCTAAGTTTGAAAGTTAAGTATAACCACTTAAACTTTTAAGTACAAATGGTTTTTCCATGTAAACCCTCTTATAGAGTCTAAAAATACTGCAACGGTACTGTTACCCAATGACCTCACAATGTGCAAAACTTATTAGATATAATATAAAATTTTAAAGTTGTCCAATTGAAAGTATTATCATCTTACTTTCGCTTCCATCATAATAGGTCTGTTCCACGAGCTAATCATAGTAACTTTGAGTAAACACTGTGTATACACAAGCGCGTTCCACCAGCAAATTTTCAAGTATTTTTGTGTAAATTTTACTTCTGTTTTACTCATGTTTTACTATGAGTAGCTCGTGGTACAGACCTAATATAGTGTAAAGCCCCATTGTTAGATTTTTTGGCCTTTATTTCACAGATATCCTGTGTTTTACTCCACTGTTCCTTCAATTTTTTTTACAACAAATTGACTTGCCTTCGGCGTGCTTTTAAATCGTTCACTTCGTTTCACGAGCTTGATCAACATGGCCGATGTCCAGGTAATCTGCGCAATTTGATAATTTTATTTTGGAATCTGGGTATTCAGATATTAAAGGAACTCTTTATATATTATTTGTATTACCTAACGTTATCAAGGTAGATTCAAACTAAAAGTATTTCATATTTTTTCTAGAATGAACGTTCATATCTTAAACAAGACCGCACTGTGGTCAGTAAATTGGGTAAATCTAAAGTCAAAAAACGCAGTATTCGTCGCATTCGAAGTATTGGCTTGGGTTTTAAAACCCCAAATGAGGTTCGTTACAGTATTAAATTGATATTAATATTTATCTAATAACATTTCTTAATAGGCGATCCACGGCACCTATGTTGACAAAAAGTGCCCATTCACCGGTAACATCAGGATTCGTGGACGCATCTTGACTGGTACTGTCGTAAAAACCAAAATGCAGAAGACCATTGTCGTGCGTCGCGAGTATTTGCATTATGTGCGCAAATACAATCGCTTTGAGAAGCGTCATCGCAATATTAGCGCTCACATCTCACCATGTTTCTCGTAAGTTTACATACATAAAAACATCTATATATATATATATATTGAAAATTTGCACTTATAAATACTTTTTATCTTTCATAGAAAAGATGTTAAAATTGGTGATATAGCTATAATTGGTGAGTGTCGTCCATTGTCGAAGACTATTCGTTTCAATGTTTTGAAGCTTTCGAGTAACACTAAAATGAAGAAGAAATTCCAAAAGTTTTGAATACTTTGAGATGACAACATATATACTAAATATATGTACTAAATTTATATCAATAAAGGGTATAAACTAATATATATATGTATTATTGCAAACCAACATTTTTAAAACAATGAAAGTTTCTATAGTTAATAAATCCTGCCTCATAGTTCATTCCTGCGCAAGAGACTATCTCGCCTTTATCCAGAAAGATGAACAGACGAAAGTTAGTTTGAAAGACAGTTATAAATATGACAGATAAACTAGCAGATATTCTTGCTATTTAACATAAGCATGTACACATAAGGATCAATAAATCTGGACAATTGAATTAAAAGGGTGTGAAAAGAAATATAAAAAAGGATAGATAGTTGAATATATTAAAGATAATCTGGGCTTTGAGAAAAACCGTTTGCCACAACTAAGGGGAGAAACTGTAAATCAATAGTGATTAAAACGGTGTTTGCTTTTGGTCATGAACACAGAAGAGTAGAGCTGCAGCTGAAAGTACACATTTGGGATTAACATATATATGCCTGACAAATAGCGGTTGAGCCTACATCTAGAGTACAATTAGGAACTGTAAATCAATAGTGATCAAAATTGTGTGTGCTTTTAGACGTGAACACAGAAGAATAGTGCTGCAACTGAAAGTTTGCATTTGGGATAGATATATGTATGCCACTCAATGTGCCTACATCTAGACCACAATTAGGAACTGTAAACAAATATTGTCCAAAATTGTGTATGCTTTTAGACATAAACACAGAAAAGTAGAGCTGCTATTAGAAGTACAGATTTGGATAGACATACATAGCTATGCCTTACAAGTAGTTGCCGAGCAATGTAGCTACATCTAGACCATAAATCAATTGTGCTTAAAACTATATGTGCTTTTAGGCATGAATCCAAAAGAGTAAATCTGCAGCTGGAACTACACATTTAGGTTAGACATATGCATCCCTGACAAGTAACTGTTTTACAATGTGGCTATATATAGGCCACAATTAGAAATAATAAATAAATAGTGATCAAAATTGTTTGTGATTTTTGAAAACCAAAAAAAATAAGCTATAGTTGGGAGTATATATTTGGCATAAGCAGATCTATTGTAGACAAGTGACTGTTTAGCAATGTGGCTATTTTTAGAACACAATTAGATCATTACAGTTCTTACTGGGCATAGGAAACTTTATTCATTCTCAGTAATTTCGACGGAGTGTTAGTGAAATCTTTGTTGTGATATCACTACTTCAATTAACTTTAGCATACTTATTAAAGATTTCAGAATACCTATTTAGAATTGTGTACTAATATAGCTGCTTCGATTCCTTTTTTTTTTTGTAGTAGTGAAAAAAGTACTTTGTTATTATAAACTTTAATTTGTTAGAAACATTTTAAGAAGTCTAATTTACTAGTCATATTAACAATTTTAATCGGAAATTATTATGTGATATACGATATTTGTGGACACGTATATATCACGCTTAACTATTTGTAGACCAATAAAAAATTCACCATTAAATGTTTTATTTTATTTATTTATTCCTTTAACCTGTTCGTCCTTCACAAAATCAATTATTTTAAACATATTCTATTATTAATTAGTAACATTTTCGAGGTCCTTATATTCTCTACATCATTTTTTTTTTAATATTATATATTTTTTAAAAATATTATTTTTTTTATAAATTTCCTGAGCAATTATACATTGGTACAATAATCACACAAAAATGTTTTCAAAAATATTTTGTGAACTAACAATTTTATAGTATTTAAAGCAATATTATTAAGCGTGTATGTCATATATAAAGCGAAAATGAACAATAATATTATGAATTTTAATCAAATATAATTTGTAATGCAAATGTTTTATAAAGCATTTGACAAATATCTTACAATGTTGTTTTCTTAGGCAAATAATTAATTATATTAAAAGATACATTTTATAAATGAACAAAGCCTACAAAAACATGTTCAATACTATCTTTTAAGTATTGAACATTAATATACTTTTATTCATTTTTGACTCATTTAATATTTATAAAATGACAATAGCAAACTAGTTTATGTAATTTATCAATAACGATTCTAACACTTACACACTATTGTTGCTAATTTAATAGCTTATACATATATATCTATGGCATAGTATTTTTTAACACATCTAATGGACTTCTTGATATAAGTTTCATGTATAATTACTTATATACAATAATTAGTTTTGAACACACTACACACAATATAGAAAGTTTAAGTAAGACATATTACATTGCAAATCAAAATAATAAATAAAGCTATAGGAAAACATAACATAGCTTAATTAAAGCTATATAATATTGTAATAACACACATTAATTAGTTAAGTTAGAATTGTACTGTAATTGAACACATATGCCCGACTTGCGCATAAGACTTAAAAAACTTTACTTCCTGCATTTTTTTCTTTTTCATCACATACTATACTATGTGGATATGTTATCATACCTATATATTATTAATCAATTTCATCAGCGTTAACTGTTATAACTTCTTTAGTAGGTGGTGATGTAATACCATTTACTACATCAACTGGTACAGTCTCATCTTCCACTCCATTATTTTTAAGTTTTTCATTAGTTTCAGCTTGTTTTTGTTTTTCATATTCACGCACATCTTCCAATGTCATACCTAGCCATTCATCAAGCCAAGTAAAAGCTTGTCTATGACCCAATAATAAGATATCACGTATTGAGCGTTGTATAAAATCTTCTACGCGTGTTTGAAAGCCCCAAACCTCAAAGCTGGCTTGTACAACTTTATAGGAACACATAATCGGGGTATCATTTTCACGCCAACCTTCAATAAGTGGGCCACGTCCGGTTTTCTCGGATTTAAAGAATTTTGGATCTTCTTCACGTTTGTAGTGCTTTGCACTGCTTAGTTCATCAAATCCAATATCCAATTCATCTATAATGCGAGTCTTCAGCTCTGCTTCTGTTAGACCGATGCACTGTAATATTAAAATATTTATATTATAATTTATATATTAAAATTTGAAATTGTCATATACTTACATTATCTGAGCTGCCGTTATTATTTTCATATTTGGTTTTAATAAAAATATTCAATTTGGGAATAAAAGAGCACTGTAAAATGGGAATTATTTTTATGATTAATAATATAATTTTTTTAATGTAATTTTAAATACTCACTGTATATTCTATTTATTCATCCAGATAATTATGATAATGAAAATATAAAAAAAAAAATAATTAAAAAAATATTATAAATTGATGATAAATTAATAGTTAAAAATACTTCAAAACCGCAAGGGTACACAATAAATTCAGAAGAAAGTATGTGTACGAAACAATAATTGGAAGTCGCATAAACCCATATAAGTCTTTACACATTACTATATATAGATAATATAAGTATAAAGTTTAAAATTTTATAGAGAATTTATTAAAACATTTTTTTTTTAAATCAATATCATTTTTTATGCCAGCTAACTATATTGAAGAATATTTAACTCTAAAGCGTTGGACGTCTTTTCGTAAAAGATAAATAGTCGACAGAAACAAGGCCACACCACTTAAAAAAAATGTATTATAAATATATTTAAATACCAGCACTCGGTCAAACTTGAAGAAAGTCACTGAATAGTCATCATGGAATCCAAGTCACCTTTACTCCATTTGAAAGACTAAGCAAAGCTCTTGTAAAGAGCTAGGGATCGTCATTACAACATAACCACTCTTAAAATTAATGCCGAGATGAATGAACTCGGTACTTGGGTTTCTAAAACCCACAATTGTATCTATCAAGATAATAAATTTTTTCGACTTTTTATTCATGCATAAATCCTCTATCAAAACTCTTCCAAATCTTGATTGTTTTCGTTTCATACGTTCTGATTGTGCTCTTAAAAACCGATATGCTTTAATCAATAAAGATGTGTTTTCTTTATAACTAATACATAACAAAAACATTATTTGTTATGCTTTAAGGGATACATTTCAGGAATTGATCCCAAATATTTTAATTATCAGAACATCTGCGTAGAAAATATTCATTAAAATTATACCTTCTTTTGTGTATTTATTGAATACACTTATACGCGTCATAAACACGATAAAAAAGCCCCCTTTTGACTTTTATATATATACGTATATCTGATAATATTTATGTAAACAATCTAGTCCAGATATTAAACAAGATTGTTATGGGATATTTATTAGCTTGCATGCAAATATTTATCAAACCAGAATAAAGATTTATAGACTACTATTTATTGCCATTTAAAACGAAATGATAATATTTATTATAAATAAAATTCATGTGTATCTAAAGATCGCATAGCCAAACTGGGCATAATGTGCTTAATATATAATGACTAAGCAGTAATTAAAAATAAACTTAAATGGCTCCTACTTTATTGTATATACATTCCATTTGTGTTATTTACCACACAGACGCCATAACGTATTAAGCATGGCAATTAAATACACTAGCGTCATTAAATCCCCAAATGACATGAAAAAAAACCAACTTGAAAGGTTTGTAATCTTTTCCTCCTTTCAATGTCAACCTTAGAATATAGTAGGTTGAGTTTAACTAATATATATGAGTGAAGGTGAAGGTGGAGGAGGAGAGTTGTAAACAACAAGTGTCGTTTGAATATTTAATGAGACTTCCACGCGCTACAAACAAAATAAGAAAAAAACTATAAATAGACGCAAAATTAAAACGCTCACCTGTTATTGTAAATGGATAATAGTTCCAGGATTTTTCCGTGATATAGAATACACGCGGACAGATGGCTTGTGCCCAAAACGGTAAGCGGCTATAATAATACGAAATAAAATATTTTTAAAAACATATAATTAAAGTTCAAATACTGTTTCTATTTATAAAGTAATGAATAAGCAATAAGCATTAGCACCTGCACACATATGGACTGACTGATTTTTAATTATATAAAAATAGCAAAAATTCTATTTATTGCCGTAGCTAAGTACAAAACTGCTTAATGGCAGGAAAATAATGAATTTATGTATACATGTAGTATTAACAATATACATATAACTTACAAACAGATATTCCAATTCTGTAAATTTGTTGCAATTTGATACAAACTTTAAAATATTTGCATATATAAGTAAAGTTGAGCGAAGTCAGCAAAACTGTTCAAATTATTGAATGACTTAGTCATTATCCAGCACGAAATCTTCATACTGATGATTTTGATTTAAAATTTTATTGCATGGAAACATTTTGCAAATTAATCAGCAAATTCAAAGAAAAAATTCTTTTGTCATTGTAAATCCATTCTTATTTTAAATTCGTTGAAGGTTTTGAAGCAACAGTTTGATTTATCTCACCTTGACAAATGTATACGCTTTTCAGTGTATTGTCCTTTTCCATGTTCAGGATCCTCACACGGTGAATTGTCCACGACTTCAACACCTTCACCATCACCTGACTGTTCCAAGCTGTGGCGTGCTATCATATACAATTGTCCAATTTGATACTTCATTGGAATAAAAATTTTTAAATTAAATTTATTTTTACAAACGAAATTATTAGACAAAACTTACTTCTTCCACTGTTAGTGGCATGCATATGCGAAACTCTTTTGTTAAAACCATATTTTAAAACTTTCTAGATTTAAAAACGTTCAACACATGAATTACGAAATAGACTTCTTATTGTACTAACAGAACAACCACCAACCGCCGCAAGGTTTCAGAAAATACTTCTTCTACATTTGACAATTGGTGCACAAGTTTTTTCAACTCACTGATAACAGAATTTAGTGTTACCAGACTTTGTTTTATCTTATACCAAAATAGAAATGAACTATAAAAATTTATGCGAGAAAATGGTATAATTTTCATTTGCAAACTACTGAAAGATTTACGGTTGTTATTGCTGTATATTAATGAAATGCATTGTAATCAACATGAATATATATTTACCAATCGGATTAAAGGCTTCTTATTAGAATTCATTTTTTCAACATCGCTTTAATATATTGAATGTCATAAATAATATAAAAATACGATAACCCAGCCAAAATTTATTTGGTTTGAATATATGGTTAAGAGCTGCACCACCTGCAACAACTACAACAAAAATTTATTTACTTTCATAAACAAAAAATTAAAATAAGTGAAAAGAAAGAAAATAAATAAAAAAGTAACAACGTCTTAGAATGCTTTTTATTTTTTTAATTTTACAAGCCTGCAATCGTCTAATGTTTCATCTTAATTTAATTACAAAAATATACAACACGCATAAAAATATATATACAAATAAAATTATTTAAATATTAAAAACTTACTAGTTGTTTGCACTTATTTACTTATTCATAAACAATACATAATCATAAATTTATACAAACCATTCCTAACATATATTCATACCTTCCGACTTCATGTCACACAACGTAAACAAACAACAGCTGATCGTACGCATCATACAGAATAACTTTTACAAATCAGATGGAGTTATTTGTAAGATTTTCGTTTATTGAAAACTACACATTACCAAAACAAAATTATATTCACAAGCAAGATCGTTTCTTCATAAAATCTATGAAGATATATCAATAGCGCTTATTAATTTGTTTATGGTGTGTACAATAATAGATATATCTATGGTAATAAGTTTAGACTTAAGCTTATCTAATATGAATCAGCAAAAAACCTGTTTAAATGTGTATAATTTATTTAGCTCAACTTAAAATTTACTCAAAAGTTATCTATGGCAACGCATATATAAAATTCCCAACAATTGTATTTACATTTCAAATAAATTAAATCACTTATGTACAAAAAAATATTTCATTTAGCGTTAATAAAAGAAATATAAGATTTTTGCTAATTTATAGTCAAATTTATTATTCTATGCAACTTTTTTTTTACGCTGTGTGTAGAAGTAGCTTGGTTATTGAAATATCCGACTTTAATATCTTGTTTCCATTGCTTACTTAAGTGAGTTACTTGAGTAACTTAAAGATTTTGTTGTTTACTGTGCCAATGTACTTAAGTTACTTAAAGTATATGAAAGAGCATCTATATGTGAAAAACCTCTAGTTGTAGAGCTTTTCTTTGTTTACATTTTAATTTTAAGCATATTGGCCTATTTACACTAACATGAACGTAAGATGAACTTGACAACAACAAGAACTGTCAGTTCAGTTTACACTATCATGAACTGTCATGAGCGTGAAATTTGTTTTGTTTTGTGTAAACGTATAAAATGCTTGTGTGTATTAGTGCAGAGCATAGAAATTGAGAGTTTTCAGCGTTAAAAGGTAAATATAAACATAACATTGCATATGTATGCGTGTCAAGCTGAAGAAACGCAGCAAATTTCATTGCGTGAAATTCATGAACTCACATCACAGTCTCTTCCCTCTCTTATCTACCGGTAACCGGTTTTCAAGTTCATGTTCATGTTACGTTCATGATAGTGTAAATAGGCCTTGTTATATTAAATTTTGTATTGTTAGAAGATAATAACACAAGGCATGTTGGAATTGGAGATTCAAGTAATTCAAGCACATATTATAGCTGTATATAACATGGTGAAAGATGTTATTTAGAATAATGACAGTTATCAAAATTCGTTGACAAATCATAACTACCTATCAACAATACTGTTTTAATAAAAAATAGAAACTTTTTAAACTTAATATATATATTATATATAAATTAAATATGAAATTTGAAAGTATTCATTAAATTGATTTTTATTGTGAAAATTATTTGCTTTGTTATTACTTAACATTTATTTCGCATAAGTGTTTTGGCAACTCTACAGAAACGTCAAAGTTGGAATTTCAACAATACTACAATTAATTCAACAACATCTCGGAGCTGAGTTGTTGAGGCATTAAAAATTTCTCTATTGCGTTCTTAGGTAGTGCGAGTGAAAATTGTGCAAGAAAAGTGAACAAATCAAGAAGAAAATATAAATATTAGAATTCGTGTCGAAAAAATATTGAGGTAAATCCTTGCCAAGATTATTATAAATGTTACGTATTAAAAAATATTGCAAAGAGTAAAGAACTTGCTAAAATTAATTAACGCCTTCTTTGTTGTGTGATATTTTTGGTATTTTCGTTTTGATTAACATTGAAAACAATTTTGCAGATTATTACAATACAATTGTAAAAATTAGTTACACAACTAATTAAGTGCTTTAAGCACACGCACCTTAAACACTTTTCTGTAGTGCATGAGATGCTAAGGATTCGCATCAAAATGGGTCCACAACGGAATAAGGAATGGACGTGTTGTTTTGGACTTCACGTTCACACCGCAACAATCATGATTGGCCTTTGGCATTTGGTAAGTTTTTATTATGTTTTATATATTTATATATATGTATATATGGGTGCAATTGCTTACTAGAATAACAATAACAATGTAAGTGTGGCACTGCTGCCAGAACTTGGGTAAGAGGCGGGGCAAGGTTTTAAGGCAAATTTCTAATTTTAGAAACCTTTATTGATTTTTAACTTAAAGTAAAATCCTTTTGCTCTAATGGTTGTCACTTAATATTTTTTACTCATATATTATATGAAATGTATATATTATACATATACGTATGTATGTACATGATATGAATAAAATTTATATGGAGATATGCACGTATACTCATGCACTGCAAGAAATCTTGCAGAATTTTAAAGATAAGACGGTGTCTTCGCTTTCCTAACTCACAAACGATTACCGCACATAATCAACTGTGCAAACACTGATTCGTGACTTTAATTAAAATAAACAAATATTTAATAAAAATGAAATAATATCTAAGAATATAAAATTGTATTATAATGCATAAATATCTGGTGTCATGGGACAAAACAGATTGTTTTGATATCTACTCACATATCGTGTGTCTTTTTATGGCACATTTTAATATATTTAAAGATGTGTTGACATTATGATATTCCAAATGAACTGCAATGAGATATATTTCTTACTGGATGTGTTTTTATTTATTAATCTGTTTTCTATTTGCATTGATATAAATCTTTTGATTATTTGGGTAAACTCTGAAGACATCAGAAGCATACTTATATTGCAAATATAATAAATTCTCCACTCTTTAAAGATATAAAATGGTATGGTTCTTTGTTTGTTATGATGGGTGATTCAGGTTGTAAAAATAGTTATGATAAACGTTATTAGTTTAAAAACAGAAACAATACAATTTAATTATTATAAAATAATTTAATTAAAATGTGTTTTTTTGTTTAACTCATGAGGTTTGATATTTGTAAAATACTCATCAAATTGGGTAATGATGTATATAACACTTCATTTGGCTGTTAAGTATTATTAATTTTATTTATTTATTCGTTATTATTATTTAGGTATTTACTATTATTATATAGTTTATTAGGATCGAAGCTGTTGTACTCATTTATTCTTATACTTTGAGCGTCAAAAAACGTCAAGTACTCGTTTTAGGTAAAAAAAACTTGCATTTTATAAGAACCTTCATATATATACAACGTTGTTTCAGTTTAACCATTTGTCTCCATCACTTAATATAGAGCTTCCTTTAGTAGAATACCTAGCTTCGTGAGAGCGCAACTTTTTTTAACTTTTAAACAGCTTAACTTTTATTTTCCATTAACAAAGTTCAATCAGCTTAAATATTACAACTATCACCCGCCCTCTAAACTTTATATTTCTGCCCTTTTTTGTTTTTATTACGGATAAGTCATAACTTAAGTATTGTTTATCAACATACGTGTTCTCGATCCAACATAAGCTAGACTGCTTTACCATATAGTCCAGGTTATTAAATTAATGGAAAGCGTTGATATACCGACTTGACAGAAACAGTTATTTCTTTTTAGCGTAAGTTTTTTAGTTCTCTCCTTCCTTTCTGTTTCCGATCGCAATAAGACTGGTAATGTGACATTTCATATTTAATAAAAAAAACTAATAGGATAAATAGAATCCCATGACAACAACGAGATAACAGTTCTTATATATTCCATGTTGCTACATAATAAGCGTGGAATTTTTAATTGTTTTTCCCATATATAATAACTATGTTTAAATAGAAACGGACCTGGATCTTATTTCCTGCAACTGTCTAAATCGCAAATGAAAGTAATTTACAATGCATAATATTTTTTAAATCTTTACTTGTTGTTTTTACCTGTTTCTTTGTACATTAAATTAAAACGTGAATCAGATCACTTAATATTTCAGCACTTTATTATAGTTTTCTGTATTCAGATCATCGTTTAATGAAACTTAGCTCAAGATTAGTGGAACTCAAGTTTTGTTTAAGAAGGATTCAATAGGCCTTCTTTTCTTTTTTTCACTTTCCATTTCAAGCAAATGACTCAAAATCATAGACTCCGTCATGATCATGATATGATCAATATCATGATATACGATATATAACAATGTTTATACATGTGTATATAGTATTCATTACTAATGTGTCATATCTTTAAAACAAGGTAAAAATTTTTTTTTTGTTTTGGAAAGAATTGCTCTATTTATAAGAACTCTATTTATACATTTGTATATACATTAGTGACGGTTTAAAAAGTTATATATTTTTTTTGTGTTTAGGGGAGGGCACAACAACCAACAACTATTTTAATTAATTTGTGTATTCGTTAGTAATATATAGTAACTGTTTAATAAGATAAAATTTTCAAAGCCCCCCCAGAAGTAAAGTCGGGCTATAGAACTGGTTGCTTATCATCTATATAACTTCTTGCCTGCTAAATAAAAATACTGTAAATTTGAATTAAATGAAATATAAGTTATACAAAAATATGAATTTATTTATAACTAAGATAAATTATTTACAAGAACATTACAGAAATGTACGGGTCAATCTTTGCAGCAAAGTACATCATGACTCATAAGTATACATAATATAACAACTGTTTAATGGGCGAGATACAGCCTTTTGCAATACAATTTGCGCTTATCAGTTTTATTTACATTTTTCATGGCTGTGCAAAATTATTTTGTAAATTTGAACACAAAGCAGTAAATCAAATTCCCTTCACCACCGTGTCTTCCGAAACCAAGTTTCACTAATCTCCAAGCCATTCAAAGCATTGAAAATAATTTTTTGTAGGCCAATTAATAACGCAACGTAATGAATACAAATGCTTCATTTAATGGTTTACTATCAACTCTTATGCGTACTCGCTTATATCTAACGTGATATTAAAAAATTACTAATTTTTTAAAATCAAAATTATTTATTTATTTATATAATTTAAATTATATATATTAAAAAATTGAGCTTCTTTATTTACAATTTAAATTCTCGCGAGGAATGCAGTACAGTATTAAGGAATTAATCAGATTACAATGCAAATAGTTTACTGAATTAATTTCTTCTATAAAAGTCTTAAGATACAATTTGACGACAGACATTCATGCAAATATTTAAATTTGTTATTTTAAATTCATTTACACGTTCCGATATTTACGAGTAAATATTTATACAGTCTTTTTTCAACTCATTTGACGTAGTTAATTACGGCGAACGATTTTATTTAAATAAGTGAAAAAAATTCATTAGCACCTAGTCTAAGTATCAGTCACGTCTTCTCTCTAATTTTTGGACACGTTCATATTTGAAGTCCGATGCCCAGTTTCGCAACATTTCCTTGATTCTGTGAACTTTATGATTCTTAATTTACAGTTCAACGTTTCGAATGGATGAAAGATAGCAGAAAAAACTAGTTGAGAAATTAAATATTTATTTAGAATCATTTCTGCTCCATAATTATCTAAATAATGTCAGACGTCTTCTTCTTTCACTTTAATATATATTTTAAATATTTTACTTTAACGAAAAAAACAAACAATTTTTTTTATAGATTGTTCGCTTTCTTTGACATTAGTCGTATTGAGTTTATATAACATAAAAAATATGGTTATATAATTAAGTTTTTTTTTATATTTATTAATTTATTTGTATTTTTTCTTTTTAGTATATAATAATTCAATTACATAAAAATATTTTTCGAAAAGTAGTAAACTATAACAACAAAAATTCATTTAATTTTATTTTAATTAATTGAATTTTTAGCTGTACATATAGCTGTTTCGATATTGCCAAATACCCATTATTAGTGATGCTGGAATTATTTGTTATATTTAATTATTCGTAAATAATATTTTGAGATTACAACTACCAGTAATCGCACTCGCGCCCTGCCAAATTTGAAGCTCAGAGTCAGCGCACCTGAACCAACTGACCCAAAGCCGTACTTGACTTTTATGTTCGCACATTTTTCTGAAGTTTTGTTACTTTGCTGTGAAAGTTTTATTAACAAATTCACTTACTGTGTTTATATTAAAACGAGATCATAAACCAGTTGCGGAATAATTGAATTATTTAATTATATTTTTATTTTTAATTGTTAAGTTTCAATACTGCCGACGGCTTGGTTTGATTTAAATTTATTTACTAAAGATAAATATAATATTTAGAGTTTATTAGCTTTTATAACTTTTGCAAGAATATAGATTTGTTTATGTATTAGTTTATATGTTTTATTAATTTCTTTGACTTAAAAGTTTCATTTTCTATTATTTTATTGCTATACAGTATAGCTTCGTTGATTATCCATTTAAAAAATTATGTACCTCTTCAATCTTAAAAGCTGGCTTCTTCAAATAGCTATTTCTTTGTTCGATGAAAATAGGTTATTCTCCTACACATATCCTTTAACACACAAATAGTGCACACTACCTTTTCTTAGCTTACATAAGGCAAAGTTTGAGAGCTCTCTTCTTATTTTAACTATAATGCTTATAATATCAATTCCAATCTATTCAGGAAAGGGATTGCTTTCGTCTACATTGTGGCTGAAACGGTTATATCCAACTCCTATTAGGCTGTTATATGCTTTCTTCATAAAGTTAGTACCTAAAAGAGATTTTACTAATATAATTCAGTATTTTTTATATTTATTTTATTTTTAAATTATATATGACTCGATGAATTTAGATTAGTGATTTGAAGTGTTGAAGTATTAAGATGCTCTTGCTGATCGAACACATAAACTTAAATGAAAGATTTGGATCGAACTTGAAATGTTCCCAATTATTTGAGGGGCTTGAACAGTTCATCTGTTCTACGTCAGATTTTATTTACGATTGAATTTATACAAATATTTATAGTAGTAATTTTTCCAACACTATAAGATGTTCGAACTATTTCAAGCAGGCCCCTTTGTTCGATCAATATACTATAATACTTCAAACAGGTGTAATAATATTTTAAGTTCTTATTAAGGCTGATATCAGTCAAAAAAAAAAAAGAAAATAAAGTTAAAAAAGATATATGTTAGATTAAGTTGCCCTGGCAGCTGTGCACACCAAAAATCCACTTTAGCTAAAATAATAGGCCTTAGTGATACCATATACATATAAAACGTTGAATCAGACTGACTAAATGAACAACTAAAACAGGTATAAAGACCATAGTACTCGGAGCACAGACTATCCTATAAAAATAAAAGTGAAATCTATAAAGTTGATTACGTCCTTAATTTTGAAAGATGCGGCTCTATCAGGTCGGAGGCTTCAAGGATATTAAAAAGCTAACTAACAAATCTCGACACTGACATAAAAAAGGGTAAATAATTTTAATAAAGTGTAAAATAATATAATATTCATAACGTTATTATAAATGCATGTCTTAGAACAGATGTGTCAGTTATATTCCTAATCCATGTCTGTTTCTTTTATCATTGATAGATAATAATTAACAGAAAGGAGTATGTTCAGTTTATAAATCAGTGATATATCTTGGCTTATATCTATTAAGACTTAGAAAGCTGTTATTTATGTTTTTGACTTCAATGGACTGTTTATACTGCCTTAAACTTCTAGAGAAGACCTTCTCGAACTGCTAATATGTTTTGTTCTAAAAACTGATACAGTTTGACAAAAGGATTTCCCTGATAGAATCTCAATAAATAAATTAAGAGTCTATTTTAAATCACTGATTATTTCACAACTTGTAGATAGTTCTGGGATTAACAAACAGTCTTAAGTACATACTTTTTAAATTTGTAATAAAAACTAATAATTATGTTCACTTCATTATCAGTTTTACTATATTTTTGTTATTTACTTTGTATTTATATTACAGTTCTTGAACATTTTGGCTCTGAGTCTGCTGGCTGTTATATGGCGCAATCCGCACATGATGGAGGAATTGGAAAATAGTTACGACTATAACGTGGATCCCAATGCACCAATTTTGCCTACTCCTTTAAGCAAAATTGAACCGCCTTATGCTTATCGTGACCACTCACTAATTTATCGTAAGCAATATCGTAAGTATGAAACTTGTTGAAACAAATTAATTATACCGTGTCTACACTGGACAGATTTTGGCAATATTTTTATGTCTGAGTGGAAATACGTGCTATATATGAACTTTGCTAAAGTCTAGCCAGTGTGGGCGCTGGGTAATTCAGTGACAGTATTGGTTAGACTTTATTAAAATGTTTGATTGTAAATACGTATAATTTGGGATATTGAGAGTCCACAAAAATCTAGTGCCAAATCTAGAGTGTGCTAAAGTCTAGTTTGTGTAGAGGCAGGATTAATTTATATGATGAAATTATAAAATGGTTGTAGATTTTATAAATAGCCAAAATATTGTTTATACTTAAATTATGAAGTTGACTATAATTGGCAGTATGTTTTTTATTTAAATCCAGTCAAGTGTTTGTATTGATAAATCTTAATGTGGTGACACAATTCCTTATCTAAGTAATATAATATAAGGAATATATGTTATTTTTTTAAATCTAAAAATACACTAAAATTTATTTCAATCTTTACGAATATTTCTTTTTATTGCAGAAAATTTTGATATGGGCGGCTTAGTGTGCACTTGTATGATAGCAATAACATTAATGATGATATATGGTACCATTAAGGGGAAACCATCACATTTGTTGCCTTTCTTTTGCTTGCAGTTGTTTGACTTTGCAATTACAACGTAAGTCAACTTTTGTTTTTTTTTGCTTATAAAAAGAAATTTATTATATTTTCACCCTTTTTTCACAGTTTAACTGCTGCTGGTTACCTGTGCTATTTGCAAGCAATACATCGACTTGTCGCAGAATCTCCTCGCTTGCCGTGGCGCGAGAAATTATTAGAACTTTCACCTGAGGAGTTGGTGATTGTTGTACTGGTTGTGTTTATCTGTATTGTTTTTCTCAAAGCATATGCTATAGGCATTGTTTGGCGTTGCTACAAATATCTCACATTGCGCCAACAAAATATGCGTACATTGTTACCTTGCGTTATGCCGGATATAGCCAGTGCCAATTTAGTTGCGGAGGAACGAGCTTATTCCACACTCTTGCCCAATTACGATGAAGCTATTGCACAGTATATGAAACAAGCACCACCACCATCTTATCAAGTTGCCATGTCCAATTATGAGGCTGAAGAGAACACCAACACAAATGATGCTGAAGGCACTGATAATAATAATGATACACCAAATAACAATAATACTGTACATGTTAACGCAAATACGCCACCAATGAGGCGTAATGAGAACACCGCTGCTGCTGTTGCAGCTGATGCTGATGCTGATATTATAACACCTGATACTGATGATAGTTTGTCAACACCACCACCAGCATACAATGATACAGTCACTGTTACAAATGTGGATGAACAAGAATCACCAATACGTACTGCAACAAATTCAGCTGCAGTTTCGTCCATTACGGAAGCTAATAGCATTGCTCAGAATGCTGCCCATACAAATGAGAGTCAAGCCTAATTTGTATGTGTAGTAGTGATTTTTTGGAGACTAAATTGCGTGTAGAGTTTTTTTTTATATGTTTTTATTTTGTATTTTTATTCTGTTTTATTTTTTAGTGCAATTTTCAAAATAAGTGTTAATGTTATTCACTTTACGCGTTCATCTTTAACTTCTTTCAAATTAATATCCTTTTTTATTTTTATTTTTTTTTAAACAAATTTGTAACAATACTGAAATTCTACACAATTATATGGAGAAATTAAGCAGGTTGAACTAAACAAAAATTATACATATTGAAAGTATACATATTAAGATAAAAATACTAAATTTTATGTATTATTCGTGCGTGCAACATATATTAAAAATGCACATTAATTTTATAAAATGGAAATCTTATTAACTAAAACTATCAATTTGAATAGACGCTCTTTTTTTCTTTGCTATGTTATTTAAACATATTAATAATATATAATTAATATATCCAAATTTTAACAAACAAAAAAATCAATTTTTAAGAAATGTAGACAATTTTAGTGAAACACAAATACAATTAATACCATACAAATTTAATTAAATTCATATTGTAAAATATTAGAATTTTAAAAAAACAAGTTTTGTTTTTATAAACGAAATTAACTCCAATAGTTACAAGTCGGAATAATACACATATATATATTTATCTAAACATTCCATTTTTAAAAACAAAATTAAAATTTTGGTATTAACAAAAAATTGCTCACCTCGCTTACACACTCTAAAATGCTTCTTCACTCAATGTTAAAAGCTCAAAAATTGTTTAAAAAAATCTAGCTATTACAATAATAGTTTTCCGACCATGTAATACTTGGAATTTATCTATTTTTTATTATTTTTTTATATATAAAATTGTTTATTAAAAAATACAATACAAAATAAATGTTCTGTTTTGTTATATTTATAAAAATGTAGTATTTAATATTTGTAGTTACCCTCTACTTTTTATATTAAGACTATTATAATTATTACTTTTATTAATATTTTAATCTTGATTATAAAAAGAATATTAATAAATATATATATACATAAATATATATATATATATATTCGAATACACTAGTTTTTAAAATAAAAAAAAATCGCAATAAAATAAACACCCTTTGGAAAAGGCGAACATTTTTTGCGAAATATAAAATTGTATTTTTTTTAACTATTAAATAATTAAAGATATTTGATAAAATACAATTGTAATACATAATCTCGACAAATGCACATAGTTGATCAGAATTAAAATATCAATTTATTATATATAATAATTAATTATGTGTGCAAAACAAGGTTGTCTTACGCCATAAGTTGGTCGCTCTGTTCATAAATAACTGGGTATATATGACTATATGAAATATAACGTAAAGTTTAACACCCACTCAAATGAGGAAGTCGGAAACACATTAATACAACATTTAGTAGTGGAAGAACTGTTTTTTTTATGCAAAATGTACTGATTTCACATCTAAATTACATAGAGGAAAAATATAATTATGAAATAAAGTATATATGAAGCAAGGAGAAGGAGTAGTAACTTGTGGAATGCTCATAGTATATAATTTATGCTCTGAGTCAATAATTATGTTTATAAGTGAAATCATTCAGACACGGACTAGTAAAATTCGTTATGCACTATATGCAATCTGGAAGTAAGGATATTAAAATTCTTTTAGTAGAAGAAACTCTTACTTAAATTTGAAGGAGCACAACAAATTTTAAATAATTTCAACATAAGGTTTCTTAAAATTATTCAGTTTCCAACCATTCAGTTTTACATAGTTTTGCTTTATACCACAAAAATCATCTATATACCAACCCATGTATTTGTTTTGTAAGAGGTCTCAAGGGACTATGACATCATTTATATATTCAGCTGATAGTGTAACTACGACACTTCAGAATTCTTGACAAGCCTTTTCTTTAAAAATTCAACAAAATTTCATAATATACAAATCATAAAATTTGTTATAATTTAGTTTAAGTATGATATAGTGATAAAGTAGAAAGTATCTGACAAGAAAATTTCTAAGTGTTAAATCCTGTATTTTTTTCAGTTAAATATAAGAATTTAAAAAGTACGTTTACCCCCAAGTCAAGTTCTATTAAGTAATATAGCAAGCAATTCTTTGTTTATACAAAATCCAATTTTATATAAGAAGGTAGATGAAGGTAAAAAGTACACATTTTTCATATCCTTTGAATCGCTTTTCAAGGTTACATTGAGTAACAGAAGTGTGCTTTTAAATTTATGGTCATCACCCATGACCTTAAACTTTCTTATAAGTTCAAGAACACAAAAATTATGAAAACCTTCGAAACTTTTATTCTAAACTTTGTAAAAAAAATGTCAGGATATTGAGAAACTTTCGCTTATAAAAGTTTAATCTGAAAGGATAATTATAAGCTTTTACTATAAATGTAAAAGTAGAGCTTGAACTATTATAGTACATATGCAGAAAGTTGTTTATATATAAAAATATTTTTCCTATAAAATGCTGAATCTGCTTTGCTATAAAATATTGTCAATTTATTTGTTACCTTTATTTATAGAATATTATATCAGATACCGTTTCTGCTATTTACGTTATTTAAAACACTAATAATTATAACTAAAGACTAATTATAGTAAAACCTATAACTACGTCTCATATCAAGTTTTTATAGCATTAAGTGATTACGATTAAAAATGATTTGTTATATTCTTATAGAAGTAATATAAAGTGGAATTGGATAACAATCTATTGAACGATCATATTCTGTATGGCGCAAAAGCATGGATATTATCACAGAATGATGAAGCTACTCTATGAGTCTTCGAGAGAAAAATTCTTCGTACGATCTTTGGTCCTCTACGAGTTGGTGACTATTCGTATGAACCACTAAATTTATCACGACATTGACATAATTCAACGAATTAACAACCAGCGGGTTCGTTGGCTTCGTCATGTCGTGAGAATAGATGTTGATGCTCTAGTGAAAAAGATATTTGAAGGGATAGTTGGAGGAAGAAGGTGTAGAGGTAGACTGTGTCTCCGGTAGTGTGATTGAAGGAGCACTAACCGCACTTGTACAAGACTGGAAAAGGCGCGCATAGAGCAGAGATACTTGGAAAATAATAACAAATAACAAAGAAAAAAGTAAGTACGACCATATTGAGGACAAATATATATGTTATAATAGATACAGTGTATTACAGCGATAAAGCACAGTTAAATAATAACGAAGTACAGTGTAAACCTGGTTTCAACTACATATTTTCTTAGTATAATATACTATTTGTTAATGTAAAATTTTTTGTGTTTAGGTGCTTGCATTGTCACCTTTACATTCATTTAAACTTCTCATGACTTCACGAGATTGACCCAGGAATCCACCCAAGCCCTTCTCATCATGACGAGCTTAGACAAACGTCTTCGCTCACACAGTGTAGTGTTCGATCTCTTACTGTGCCGATGTTTCGATTGCGCGTTTTGTAAAATTACTTATCCCTCAATACGAGCCCGCTCGTCGTGTGTGATGGCGATTTTAACCGTATGTGTGTGTATATAGCTTTAATTATTATTATTCATGATTATTTAAAAACCTTATGTCTTCGTCCATATCTAATTGGTCCAAATTTAGAATAATAATTAGGTATGTGATGTGTTCTACAACACTCTCGTACAAAGTAACCTAAAGTCAATGGTTTCCATTGACGCCCGTTCTCGTCCCACAATACCTATACGCTCGATCATGAGAAATTGTTTCGTGTCTCCAGTGTAGTCGCTATTACATATTAGTTTTGATACATCCATTAATGATATACAACATTCAATAGAAATTCTCTGTTATTTTAAATACTATCCCCCAACATACACACCTACCCGATGTACCGATCTCAGTCTGTATG